AGTTTTTATTTCGGCATCATTAGTGCTTTTGGGATTCTTAATAATTCTTCCCTCACCTCAAATATTGTTTAAAAATACCCCCACAGACATTCTTAGGTTGTTTGTTTTCTTACTTTATTACACCTAATACCCATTTTACTGGCAGAATACAGAGCAGAAATGAATATAGAGAGTGCCCCTCAAATTCTGTCACCCTTCTGTTTATGACAGTCTTCTACCAGAATTCTCTGCATGCCCTGCCCTCCAACCTTCAACACAGTAATCTTGGGCAGCTTCTATTTACTGTGGATTGCCTACTCCTGACAGGTGTCCAGTGCAGGGAACTTTGCCTTTCAGAGAGATGAAAAGATTTCCATAGGGTAAGAAGCCTGCTGCTGGCCTTCAGAAGGAACAGACAGCCTTCCGCCCTACACTGAAGCAGGCCAATACTGTTCTAACCTCCCCAGCAGAATTCCTGTTAGTTCTTGTTGGCCTTTAAGTCAGCAATGACCATGGAAGGCTCCCATGTTCTGCCTTGTTGCTCTGTTTTGTACTTTCCCCCGTCTTATAGCAGTGTACAACACTGGCCTTGCTCCAGCCTTCATTAATAGGAAGACTGGCTGCTCTTCTCACATTCTGACACACAGCCCTTCTCCAGGCTCACTCTTCATTCCAGATTGACTGAGACAGCCTCCAAATACACATGTTGTCCCAACGTAATTATTAACAGCCTCCCTTTCATTCTCATAGTGTCCTGGAATAGATGATAAGTTATATGGTCATCCACCCATCTCCGGGTTTCCTAGTTCTGTCTCCAAGCTGACAGCTCACTCGCTTGTCACACCTACCTTATAATGTGCTGAGATAGGACAATTCCCACCCTGACCTACTTCTGTCTGTTCCACAGTGTTCGGGTTGCTGGCCAGAGTCAGTAAATGTGTTAGAATGAAATTCCAGGCCCCCCTCATTTGTGTCCCACAGACAATTCTATCTCTATATACACACATAAAAATAGGCACAGATACACACACACATATACAATGAAAACATTAACATTCTTGTTTTTAATGCTTTTAAAAGAGTCCTCCCTGCTGTAGAAAGGGAGAGAAGAGGTATTCTGGCAGCTTTGTAATGATATGTGTCAAACAGTGACACAGAAAAGAATTATAAAGGACCAAAAAGGATGAGACCAGACAGTGATCGGAGCCCTTTACTCCAATGGAATGCAGACTATTTTTCTTTCAAGCCCCACACCATCAAGGGAGGGACTTTTATTTTCGTACAGACATTGGTACAAACAATGCACACAAGGCATTCCCAGCAGAGGTTCATTACCCAGCCAGCCACCAAAGCCTTCTCTCCCTAGTCAGACCCTGTGAGCTGCTCACCTCGTGGCAAAAGAGAACATTTGCCTGTGAGCCGTGTTTCATCAACGTGGCTTTCCATTCTGCCTCCTCTGAAACCTGCAGAAGCCTAGATGTGTTTGATCTCTTACACACTTTATACTGGAAATAGCTATTTAAAACGGCTTCATTATGCCTCCAGATGGGCCCCAAATGGCACCCCAGGGTCACTAGCTAAAGTAGGATGGGTATCCATTCCAACTCTCTAAACAATTCTGGAAATCTGACTCTTTCAAAAAGACATCCCAAGTCTCAAGTGAGGTCAAGTGCTGTTTTTCCTCTTAATATTCACATCTAACCAACATGTCTAAGTATTCAAATCAGTACAGATAAAATATGGATATAATTCTGTCCCCAATCTTCCAGGCAGGAAAAGAACCTGTGCCTAGCTCTGGGATCTTCCCTAACGGTCATGTCTTTTTCCCAGAATGCATAAAAGTCTGATGGCTGTGTGCTAAAGTATAAATGCTCACTCCTTAGGTAGCCAGGCTTGGACCCAAGGTAAGTACAGCTTGTGTCTAAGCAGCTCAGTAGGCTTACTCTAGCACACTGCTCAATACTGGCATTTCTCCATGAACCCAACATGAAAACCTTAGAAGCAAGGGCATATTTCTGCATACATACAGGCCTCTAGACCCAACCATGAAACCTGAAGTGAACCAAGAAGGAAGAGATTAATATTTCAGAAACAATGGCATCAGGTAGAGCAAGAATAAGTGATGCAAAATATGTCCATTCCAACAGGACAGTGAATGACCTGGGTGTTGATGCTAAATGTAGTCTTACAACTTTTATTCCACTGTTGGTCCTCATAACTTCTCACTCTTATTCTGATCAAATTTTCACGGTATTACCATCTAAAACCAATCCAGTAACAGAAAAGTTCTGTGATACCATGAGCAGGGCACTAGCCCCAGCAATCACATGTCTCAGATGATGATGGGTATGGTATGTAGGTGATTTATCACCAAGATTGGTCTGTTTTCCTGTTCCTCCAATGAAAGGTTGATGTAATGCCTTTGACATAGAAAATGTTTGACTCTTACCATTTGTAGACACACTATATCTGCCAAGTGTCCTTATAGAATAAATAATACATTGATTTCTTAAACCTGAATGTGCATTACCACATCATTGGGGCCTACTCCCTAAGCCAACCAACAGAAGACAGAAAAAATTGGTAAAAACATCTATGGCTCACCCACAGCCAATTCTCTCCTTCTAGGAGCAAAGAAGGCTATACCCCTCTGAGTCTGTGCAGTAATAAAGACCACATGACTAGTTATGGCCAGTAGGTGGTGAATGCAAAGAATTTTCCCTTTGGAGTCAAAGAACCACATTCTAGTGGGAGATCTCTCTGCATACTCTTTTTCAGACCTGTGAGATATGTGCTAGCTAGTGTAGCCATACAGATGCATTCTGCCCTCCTGTGTTGCCAGGGGGCCATGTGCCCCGAGCTCTCACCAGCTTCCCTGAGACAAACACCTTCTGTTTGGGGAGTTTCAGGGTCGTTCACTTCTACAATACACACTAGCTTATTTTGACTCAGACTTCAATTCACCCTTTTACCCCACTTTGAAACTCTCTGAGGCCATTGCCAGTTGTTTCTTTAGAGAACTCACATCTCTGTGTAAAGTAAAAAGAGAAAGAGAAGATCAGTTGGATTTTTTTTTTACTTTGGGTATGTTGAATTGAGCAGCATTGTAGAATGACATTGAAGTCACCATCCTAATGTGAGTTGATGATTCCAATAACAACAGGAAACTCATTTTTCATACTAACATGACCAGAAAAAAATATAAGAGGAAGTGAACAACTATGTTCTTGTTTTGGTTTTGTTTTTTTGTTTGTTTGTTTCTTTCTTTCTTTTATTTCAATATGTTCATCTTGGGTCCCTGTCATCCAGTGTCATGTACATTTTGGCCTCTTGCTCGGTAGAGACCTGAGTGTCCCTAATTCATCAGTCTTTTGCTTCTCTGCACTTCCATTATGATGTGGAATTCTAATGCCAGGGCCCCCATCAGCACCTCTACTCAGTGGCTCGAAGTGGGTTGAATTGTAGCCGGCGGCAGGGGGTGATAAATGTAGCGTGAGCTGCCTTTCCCCCAGAAAACTGCAAATTGCCTGAGAAGTACAACCCACAAAAGGTTCCTGTGGAGTGAATTTATCTTGTATTGTCGAGCGGAGAGGGGAAGAGGAGAGACCAGGCATTCTATTTTTGCAAAGTCACATTCGATCTTGTTCAATGTGCAGTCCACACATCTTTGAACGGGGACTCCAATGGAGAAGAAGACTAGCCCAGGAATGCATGACAGATAAATGGAATTTCTTTCCTCTGTTTGAGTTTACAACCATGTGAGCATTTCAAGTTCAGGTCGCTCACTACTGAATAATGATAATGTGTACTGTTGGATACATGCTATGCATATTATATCACCTAGTAATTCAGGATAGAAAAGACTGTGCCTCAGACTGGAAGACAAAACTTACAATCAAAGGGAAAGAGCCACTTTCCATGACATCACTTCCCTCAGAAGGAAAGAGCTATGCTCCTATCCATGGCCCAGGTTTTCCTGGAGTCTCACTTCTAAGTTAGTTTGACCAATGTGGTTACCCCTTTTAAATAAAATTGGCATGGGTCAAACAGCTGCAAATTTTGGAATCTTTCCAAGTGGTGAGATAAAAACAACCTAGGCATATGACTACTTTCAGTGCAATAAGCTATAGAATGAGGAACTTGAGACAAATCATTCAGATATAACTTTCCCTGTCTTCTGAGATAAATGATAACATCAATTTCTTTCGAGACAGAAAGAGACAACACAGGGCCCCTAATGTGACTCCAGCCACAGGTCCAAAGAGACTCCACAAGACTCGTGTGCCTTCTCTATGTTTTCAGATAGGTCTTGAGCATTTTTTTTCAGTTTTACTTACTATATAGGAAATATCCTCTGACCCAACAGACAAGTCTCAACCCTCTTCTGTGTTTTTGAGGCTCACCTACTCCATAACAGCTTCTCTAAAACCTCCAGTTCACAGAGTTGTCCTTTCCTGTAAACACAGAGTGCCTAGAATCCAAAACACCCTCTCTTCTCATGGCAGACAGTTGTTACCCCTTGGCATCTCTCACACACCTGGTGCCTATGCTTTCTCAGCTATGTCAGCAGTTACAATAGTTAATAGCATAGGCTCAGGGATCCTGCTCAATCGCAACCTCTTCAATTGGCAAGTTGGCGCTCCTCTCCACATTTCAATTTCTTCATTGTGAAAAGGAAACAATTACCGTGAGACATACTCCATGGGTCACTGGGAAGGTGAAGTGAGATGATGCATATAAGGAGTCTAATACAGTGTTCTAATGTGCGTGTTACCCAATGAGTGTTGGCGGCTGTGCCTGTCGTTCTTGGGAATAATTTATGGACACACCTGCTGCTGCTTTGTTGCTTCCCTCTCCAGTCCTTTCAACTAGAGCTTTCAGGGATGCATCAGTCACTCTTCTCCAGGATTTGTTGTGGAAAATAAAGGCAGACTTTTTTTTTGTTACCATAGTTTAGGAATTTGTTAGAAGAATGCCTCTGGGAACACTTTTTTTAATTTTTATTTATTTTTTGTACCTGGAGATCACTTAAGACGGAAGTCAAGCACTTGACTGCAGAAATTCTCAGATCTTCCTTATCAGGACAGGACTCCTTAGTCTAGTTGTTGTGCTGCTGAATTAGAAAAGCCACACAGGTTATAAGGTCTACATGGTGGTGTGAATGAGAATACTCCTTATAGGCTCACAGTTTTGAATGTTTGATTACCATGGAGTGGCACTATTTGCAGGCTGAGAAAAATGTGGCCTTGTTGGAGGCATTGTGTCACTGGGGGGGGTGGGGGCTTTGAGGTTTCCAAGGCTCATGCCAAGGCCTAGATTCTTTCAGCCGTCAGACCAGGATGTAACTGTCAGGCATTTCCCCAGCACCATTTCTGCCTGTGTGCCACCATGCTTCCCACCATGATGATAATGGACTAATCCTCTGAAACTGTAAGTAATCCCTCAATTAAATGCTTTCTTTTATAAGAGTTGCCATGGCCATGGTGTCTTGTCACAGCAAACGAACAGAGAACAAGATCGTCAACTACCATGAGCATTAAATATGGATTAAGAACTGAGAGGTCTCTTTAGACACCAAGCTGCTTGAGGTCCAAGTCTTTAGGGAATCCTGAGGCAGGACCTACCAGACCTGTTTCCTCTCTCACTACGGCATAGGGAAGAAAGGGGAAAACATACCCTCCACAGTGTTTAATACCTATGTATGTTTGCACACATGTGCCCTAACCAGTAGATAGTGTAGATAGCGGTATCTTTTCATGGCTGTTAAAGTGTGGGAGGAAAATTCTTTTCATGATGCTAGAAACCAGGAAAATTCCAGACCTTTAGCTCGTAGTCAGAAGCTGCTTTGTGAAGATCTCTGAAGCCTGGAACAGTGTCGTGCCGCCCATACAAATGAGGACAGGACCTCTGTGTCCACTCCTGTACCCAACAGCAGACCTGCTTTGAGTGCCATTGGTCTAGCGGGGTTCACTTCATTCTACACATAGCAGATCTTTTCTCCTCCACCCTTTCAAACTACAGCTCCCAATCCCCAGCCAAGCCAACACCATCCCATCATCTGCGCCACCATCATCCAACCTGTGGTTTCTAGGAACCTTGACTCTTGCACTAGGTAGCCATTCTTGGTTTAATTATTTTCAATCTTCTTTTATTTCTGTTTTTGCAGTACTAGGAATAAAACCCAGGTCTTCATGCATGTTGGGCAAGTGCTCACCCCTACACACACACACACACACACACACACACACACACACACACCTTTTCAGGTAGTCACTGCTAATTTAAAAATTTCAAAAGCAGTAAACATTAACTGTAAAAACTATAATGAATGGGAAAGAATGCTAAACAATAGGAATACCCAGCCTTGGAAATTCACAAACCATAGACTATAACCTATTTGTAGCTTTCAAAAGCAGTATTTCAACTGGCTTTGTAATGAGCAGAGTTAAAAACTAAAATATAATAGTCCAATTGAGTTAAGAATTGAGACTATTTAATTATTGTAATGGTGTTTGAATTCACTGATCTCAAGCTCCATAAAGTGCTTTACTAAATTAAATTCATCTGCTTTTTTCAGCCATGAATTATGCCTTCTCTGTCCATTACAAAGTCCCGTTTATCAGTTTGTAGGTGGGCTAGTCCATTTATAATGACCTTTCCCTGGTTTGTTTGTTTTTTAATGTGCCTCTCACTCACGCCTTTTGTATAGTTTTCTAGTCATTAGGACTGAATTAAAACATTATAGCTCCAATTTCTACACTTTATCTTTTGGAAATAACAGATGGCAGGGGTGGTAAACTTGTCCCCAAAGCACAGACTAAGAGAAACTGAGATACACCACACAAGAAACAAATGCACACCCATGGCTATGATAAACACTGGCCATGAAAGAGTAGAACATATTATTCCCTAAATAGAACAGGTAAATCACAAGAAGAAAAACAAATAGTTGGACAGTATCTTCACTATAATTTAAAAGTTCAAATTAAGACAAAATGCTTCCTTTTATCTATGATAACCATAAGCATTTGAAAATACATTATAGCACTGTGAGGACCTACTAAATGTATGTTAACAAAATACACTTTAACTCATTTAATCCTCACAAGACTTAGTGAGAAGAATCTAGGCTTTGCCACTTGCAGGTAAGATAACTGGGGGAAGAAGTTTTAAGTATCTTAGGGCACTTTGCAGAGTTACAATTCAATCCCATGTACTCATGAGGATGTGGTGAGGAGCCCCATATCTATGGATAACAAAAGGGAAGAAAGTCTGGTATAGGCAGTACAGTGCATACCAGGACACATTGAGTAGAGTCAGATGTGCTTCACCCTACCACCTAGCAATCAAAATTCTGGGTGTGTATCCTGGGGAATGACAGACACACTTGCAAGCAGACACACAGGTATTCTCTGTGCTCCGCTTATTGTGTTTGCTAGTTGAAAAGTAGGTACTAGTCAGCAACCATGCATGGGTAGCATGTATTTCAAATTATAGTATTAGGTAAGCAAAAGTGCAAAGCAATAAGATATAGCCCAAAACTATTCTATAACTTTTTAGATCATACCAACAACACTTAGTTCCAAAGGTTATTCCTGTGGATTAGGACATGAAATCAGCCTATGTTAGTCTGGTCATTACATAGGCAGTGACTTTCAAGAAAATTCTATCTTCTAATCTCAAGAAGTGTATCCTGATTCATGTTGCCTTAATGACAGGTGCAGTTAAGATAACTAACAATTTGATTGGGTGGTGGTGGCATAAGCCTTTAATCCCAGCACTTGGGAGGCAGAGGCAGGTGTATCTCTGTGAGTTCTAGACCAGCCTGGTCTACAGAGCTAGTTCCAGGACAGCCTCCAAAGCCACCGAGAAACCCTGCCTCGAAAAAACAAAAACAAAGAAACAGAGAAACAAACAAAAAAACCTAACAATTTAACCTCATAATAGGGAAAACTAACCTATATTATTGCAGTGAATTCATGACCCTTAGTCACTGTACTAATGCTGTGAAGAGATACCATGACCAAGGCAACACTTATAATAAAAGAAAATATTTACTTGGGGGCTTGCTTACAGTTTCAGAGGTTCAGTCCATTATCATCATGGTGGGAGCATGGCGGCATGCAAGCAGGCATGGCACTGGAGAGGTAGTTCAAAGTTGGGCATCCAAATCCACTAGCAGCAGGAAAAGAGAAGTCACTGGTCCTGGACTGGGCCTTTGAAACCTCAAAGCCCACCCCTAGTGACACATTTCCTCCAACAAAGACACACCTACTCCAACACAGCCACACCTGCTAATCCTTCTCAACTAGTGCTACTTCCTGATAACTAAGCAACACAATATATATGAGCCTCTTGGGGGCTGTTATTTAAACTACCGTGTCCTTGAAAGCAGAGAGGAAACAAAGGACAGGTTGGAGAGTTCTGATTGGACATTTTAAGCACACAATGGAGCCAGAATGCCACTGTTGGCTTTGAAGTTGGATTGGGAACTTCAAACCAAGAAATTCCATTTGTCTTCCAGGCCCTCCAGGAAGAGCCAATGCCAAGTCACACCTTAACTTCAAGTTACAGGGGGTGGGGAGATCTCTTTAGGCAGCATAGACAAGCCTGCTGGACTTCTGACCTGCAGAAGTCTATGAGATGATTTGGAGTGTTCAAAGCTACTTCGTTTTTTAATGAGTTGTTAAAGTAACCACAGAAAAACCAAATAAAATCACCAAAAATACACATGAAATGCAGGGAGCAAAGGGAATGAAAGCAAAGATCAGAACAGGGCTGTGAAAAGTAACAGAATTTACCAAGACATGCTTCTTGCAAGGACTTAGTTAATTTTGCAACATGAACTGAAGACTCGGATTAACCCAGCTCATGAATGTGAGGTTAGCTATGTTCAGAAAAGGATAGTTTGTTAACTGTAAGTCCAGAAACGTAGCTTGGCAGTCTGATCTAGGTGTGGCATAATTTTGTGTGGAATAATAGAGATTGGTCCACTTCCGGACAGGTCTGACATTCTGGGCAGTAAGATCAACACCTTGTATTACCTGGAAGTTGTCATCCCAAAGTGATGGGCTTTCCCAGTGGGGCTTTCCCACACTGACCTGTGTTAGCTTCCCTCTGTGGGTTCAACCTCAGCACTGCACCATTTCACAGCAACCTAGACTTTCATTCCATGCAGATTTCATTCCACCTAACTAGCATTATCCCCAGCCACAGGCAGTTTCAGAAGGCTGTCGCTCAGCTTTATAAATAAGTAGCATATTTCCGCTCACAAAATGCATGTGGAGGGGAGCTTGAGCAGTGCGGGAGTCGAGTCCCTTCCTATCAAAGATGTAAAATGCAATCTGTCAGAAGTCCCAGGCCCGAGCCAGATCTCAGTGTTTTGCCAATGAGAAAACAACCTGAAGCATCCCTGAGCAATGTTCCTGCAGAGGTTTGCATCTGCACAGTGTGTGTGTGTGTGTGTGTGTGTGTGTGTGTGTGTGTGTGTGTGTGTGTGTGTGTGTGTGCACTCACCAGTGTGGCGGGACTGAAGCCCCAGTGAAGGATAAAAATCTGTTGGGGTTTTCAGCATCTCCACCATGTCACTTTCAAGGTAGTTTTCATCTGGTACTTCCAGGAAACCCTACAATCTAGAAGCCCACTATTGATATGCCTGATCCCAGACAATGACAGCCATTGAAACATCCGTCTGATCACATCGGTGACAGTAATTATCTAGGAATTGGACACCAAGTCATTACCAATGAATGAGTTATTACTGGAAACGGTGTCCAATAATGAAGTTAATGGGAGATAATATGACAGTCATTAGATGGACATGGCTCTCTTCATTGTTGAAGAAAGAGGAACAGCTATCAAAGGCTGGCAACAGGCAGGAAGGATTAATCTATGTCAGCATTGTTTACGACCTCCCTGGATTCTATTCTTGAGGCTGAGCTGTGATTGGAGGGATTACACTTCCTGTTGGAAGTTGGTATCAGCATCAAAAAAAAATAAAATAAAATAAAGCCTTGGAATTTTAAACTGTCCTGTGATTCCCTGGCACTGCAGCCTTAGTGCTGGGCCCTGTAAGTGCACAGCTCTCTGTTCTGCCTGGAATAAGCTTCTCTTCTCTCACCTACAAACTTCTGTTGTCCTTGTTTGGTTTTGTCAACTTGAGACAAAACGAGACATAGAGAAGAAGAGGGTAAGACAACTGAGAAAATTCTCCTGTAAGACTGACTTAATGTTGCAGGGCCCAGACCATTTTGGGTGGTGTCATCCCTGGGCTGGCGGGCCTGGATGGTGTAAGAAAGCAGGTTGAGCAAGCCGTGGAGAGCAGGCCAGTAAGCAGCATCCACCATAGACTCTGCTTCAGTTCCTGACTCCAGGTTCCTGCCCTGACTTCCTTCAATGATGGACCACAATGTGGAAGGATAAGCCAAAATAAACCCTTTCCTCCCCAAGCTGCTTATGATCAGGGTATCTTCTCACAGCAAAAGAAATTGTAGCTAAAATAAACCCCTCCCATCTCTAACCCAAATGCTACTTCTAATAATTCACTCTAATAATTTTAATCTAAAAATAAAAGTCACTCTTATCATTTAGCCTCTTCTACATAGGACACCCCTGCCTTACCTGATCCTGTCCTGCTACTCCCAAAACATTGCATTTCCTGCTGAGTGAATGTATAGCTGACCTCTGTGCTATCGAGGATATCTCGGAAAGCTCCATCTAGATCCTGGCCACCGTCTGATGGAGGGGACAAGAGAAGACGACGAAGAGTTGGAAGCAGGGTCGGGGAGAAGAACCAGTTTCCAAGTGAGATGCCACAGTGTGTGACTGACCCTGCATGCCTGAATCTGTCTCCTCCTGAAATTCCCCGCACTACACGAGGAGGATCATCCATACCCTGCTCACTTCAAGGACTCAGAGAAGGTAATGGAAGAAAAGCCAATATAGAATAGCACTTAGGGTAAGATGAAAAGAATGCATAAATACATGGGGATTTTATCTCCGTGATGCACCAAATAGAGACCACAACCTTTTGACCACATATGCAAATTCATTCCCTATGATTTCACGCCTCTCTGAGTGGCCTAAAGATATGCACAGGCAGGGCTGAGACTCTATAGAAACTCTGAAGCAGATAGCTAACCAGTGGCATTCTGTGCCCTGAGGAGATTTCTTTCCTTTTAGCTTCACTGACTACGATTGGGAAGAATTGGGGGGTGGGGGCAGACATTAGTCAGTGGTAAACCTTTTGCTAACACAGAGAAAAAGAAAGAAAATGAGCGATGTTCTTCCTGTCAGGGCATCGTTTGTGGTGAGGTGTATCCGACGGTGTTTCCCACAATACCACTAAGCTTCCTTTTCGAGATGACTGACTCTCCCCAGGAACTAAAGCTGTGTTATGACCTTCTCTCAGAAGGAGGCTGAAGTGAGGAGGTTCTGGAGGCTGAGAGCCAAAACTGGGAAGTTGCATATCGCATCTACCATCACCCTCTCTCCCCACAGCATGAACTTCCTAACTGCCAGGCCACATCAAGGATGAAATGATCATGTTGGAAATTGCTTAGAACTGAGGATACCTGTATTGGTGAATTTGAAAGTGGAGGCTGATGGGTGCTTATTGGCTGGGTTGCTGTATGGTCAGGCTGCTGGACAGGAAGACAGTAAGTGGAATAGTCCTCAGATAGTTACAATGAGAAAGCAGCCCCTGTAGTTATGAAGGCACAAAATCCCAGTATTTGTAGTCAATAACCTAGACACCCAAGTGTACCCATGTGGAGTCAAGTCCAAATTCAAACATTTGAGAGCCAGGAGAACCAATTATTTAAGTTTTAGGACAAAACCCAGCAGGCTAGATACCAAAGAAAGTCCAAGTTTTGCATCAAAGTTTCAAGGCTAGAGACGATTACTGCCCTGGCTCGAGCAGCCAGGATGAAGTGAACTGTGGTCTTATACAGCCTTCAGTTATATTTAGACTTCAACTGACAGGACAACCCCTCCCCCTACTTCTGCTTGTTCCACCAGCTCAAGTGTGAAATAGTTTCAAAAACATCTGTCAAGTGTCTGGGGAGCAGTTCAATTGGTATATAAATTAACCAGGACTGATGAATTTCCCCTTCACTTGGTCCCTCCACAGGGTCAGTATCAGACTCCACACTAGGAATCCCAGAGCCCCTGGAGGCACAGGTCTCCCAGCCATGATGTCCACGGCCCTTCTTCTAGAACATTGCACAGGTACCTTAGAGTGGTCTAGGTGTTCTAGACAAGAGTCAAGAGTCACTAGAGAGAAGATCCTCAATCAGAGAATTACTTAGATCAAATTGCTCTGTAGACATATCTGTAGAGGACCCAACCTACTTTGGGAGGCACCATTCCCTGGGCAGGTTGTCCTGAACTATGAAAAATGTTAGATGAGGATGAGTCTGTCTATAAGCTTATAAGCAGCATCTTCCATGATCCTGCCACACTTCCATAGCTGTGAAGTGAGTTTCTTGGTTGAAGTAATGCTTTTGGGATTGCAATTAGGCCACGTTGACTTCAAGGCCTTTACTTGAGCTCCTTGATTTGTCTCCTATCAATGGTGGACAATGACCTGGAGTTGGAGACCAAATAAAATGCCTTTTTCTCCAAAGTTACTTTTTTTGTCATAGCAAGAGAAATGAAAACCTGAATACCCAATGATGCCAACTGCCTCAGCAATCTGCAACTACTATGATATGGCCGTGCAGGAGCTTCTGTGACCCACAAGCTCCTTGAAAATAGTGGTCATGCCTCCAAAGCCACAGAGAAACCCTGTCTCGAGAAACCAAAAAAAGAAAAGAAAAAAAAGAAAAGAAAAGAAAATAGTGGTCACATCCCTTACTCCCTTTCCTCTTTTCATTGTCCCTCTTTTCTTAATGCCTTTCATAGTATCAAGGACCTGGCACACGGTAGTTTCTGTCTTTAAAGATCTTATCGATTCCTCCCAATGTGTAACACCTATGGGTGAGTGGTTCCTCGTACTTCTCTACTTTTGCCCAAGTTGTGCTCTGGAGTTCTCTCCTCACATTTCCATACTTGATTCTTCAGTGTTTGTACAATCCAGCTTTAATGTCCCTTGGTGACCACATGGTGTCTACTGTTTGTTACTTAGCAAATGGGTCTTGTCTCCATAGACAGCACTAAGTATTAATTAAGTCCCATAATAGGATGCCACTGCTGTTGGTAAGGCTGAGTATTGATGGTGCCCTGAAACAGGGCCTCACTTTTTGGCCCAGCATTAGTATCAGGCATGTCCCAAGCAAGAATTATTCTCTCAGCTGGGATATTTGACTTTGAAAACTGTATTACTTCTTGTTCAGTTAGTTTGTTTTATCTTGAGTTCTAAGAATGCAAATACTCACAGGGCTTAGCGACTACTCCTGAATACCAACTTTGACCAATGAATGGTAGTATAGATAAAGCAAGACCAGAGGAGTAGGACTTTAGGAAGGCACACTCTTCCTGAGCCCAGTGCAAACCTTTTAAATGAAGCAATCACTCTGGTCCTTACCCTGTTCAACTCCAATCTAGCTCTAGTTGGAATCAACACACACTTCTTATAAAATCAGCTAATTCAAGGACAAAATGACCCTGCAGCCTCAGCTCTCATAGGACTAAAACAGCTTCATTTGGCGTGTGGACAAGGCTCGGTGTTGGCAAGATACTCCTGTACTTGGTGATCACGTATCGGTGTTATTCCTCTAGAGTACTTCAAGGATGAGCCTCAGAGTTACTGCAGTGAGCTGTAAATTCTTAGAATAATGCCAATGCCCAGAGGTATTTTAATTCTCAACTATGAAAAACTGTCATTTACAAGAAGCCACATATGACTTTAGAAGCAGATACAGACATGGTTCTGTGCAGGAATTCCACCCTCTTGGTTGACTGGGGTGCCTGTGACCTCACTTTGACTGTGCAGCCTGCTCAGACCATTGAGTAAGGGATTGAAGTCAGCCTGAGACTGTCTATTTGTAATGACTAGAACATTAATTAGAAGTAATTTGGAAAACATTTTACTGACTATGCATGCATTGAGTGTAACCAATTAAACCAATGAGGCCAAATACTTAGGCAGCCAGGCAGCTGTTCACAGAGGTCTAAGTAAAAAGGGAGCTAAGTCCTGCCTACCCAAGACTCGGCAGTTCTGCATTATCAAGGAGTGTCATCTTGTAGAGGCTTCCTGGGGCTGTGCTGGAGGTAAGCGGAATGAAGCATGGAATAGGTTCTAAGAAAGAAAGAGAACACTCATTATTTTTGTAAAATTATACACATTTCTAGAAGTACCAAAGCTATTATTGGCAATTATCTGACATCAATATACAGGAGCTGACGGTGATTAACAGGGGTTAATAATCTCCTAGGCTAAATCACCACATACTTAAGCATATACTTAAGAAGAAGACAAGACTGTTAGAGGAATCAGGGCAATTGTCAACGCACCCAGGCTAACCCAAATGGAATATTTTATCTAGTTGGCTCTTATACCAGCATCATTGCTGTACAGCAACCTTCCAAAGGTCATTGCTGATCTCCACAAATCTCTAGATATCTAAGTTCTATGCTGAATAAACTGCCATTTCTTTTATCTTATGGCTGATGGTAGTATAAATAATTAGTGTCATATTTCACATCTTTAAGGTTCAAACCTAAGCTACTCCCTTATCTTGTATGGTTTTAAATTGTTTGTTCTTTGTTGCTTTTCCAGTGTGAGAAAGCACTTCGTTTAAAGAGGCTCAGTTAGAAAATATTTCAGGCTTTATATAGGCATGATCTCTACATAAGTTCCTGGGTTCTGTTACTGTAACACACAGACAGCCCGAGGTAACTGTAGATAGACAACTGCAACTGTGTTCCAATCAAGATGTATTTGCAAAGACAGATGAGGGAAGGTCAGTCTTTCAGACAATGGTTTTCCAGCCCCAGTCCTATAAAAGAAAGAGGATCCCACTAACAAAGAAACTGCCCCTGCGCTATGTGTTTCCACATGAGGTAACATTCCCTGACACTTTCACTGTTCATGCAGAAGGGAATGGCCCACTTGCACTCTACACTAACAGTGACACAGACCCAGAGAAGTTCCATCACACCACGGTGAGACCAGATCAGTTGTCTGCTAAGGGCTCCCAGTGGCTTCCATAACATGTGAAACATTAACTTCTTCTGCGCTAGGAATCACTCACATCACACTGTTTGGTCTTGTCTCCTCTCCTTCCTCCAAGAAGCCAATAGTCTCCTGCTCTGTACCCTTATCCTCTGTAACCCTCTTCCTAGAATAGTTCTTCTCCCAAAATGTATGCAGCATAACCTCTCCTTCCTTCAGTTTCTATTGAAAAGCTCTCATGGTAAGGACTTCTGGGTTGTAAAACCTGATACTTTGCCTGATGTCCCAGGCCTTCCTTAACTTCAAATATTTCCTTACAGCTCACCAAGATTTAGCATTTTATATGTACATACGTCATATACATGCATATATTTACTTACTTTCTCCTTCCAATTAGACCTCAGAATTCTTAAGGGCAGTAATTCAGTCTGTTTTGTTTGATGTAGTATGCCCACTGCCTGGAACAGTGTCTAGACTATAATCAATACAAACCTGCTAGATGTGTGCATGTGGGGTATAGTCCTAAGAGTGTTCTCATTAAACTGAAATGCTACGTAATGACTGTGGCTACTCTTCTATCTGTATGTGCACTTTCCAGAACTTAGCTTTATTCTCTACCCTAAGCATCTCCTTGCATAGGAGAGATTAAAGATTATTATAGATTGAATGTAAAAAAAAAACAAGGTAATGTTTCTCCACTGAAAGTGTGTGTGTGTGTGTGTGTGTGCACGTGCACCTGTGTATGTGTGTTCAACAGCTGCCAGGCCAACTTTCTGCCTCATAAGAGCACTCTTCAAATCTCTCTATTTTCTTTGAGGTCAACACCTGGCCTTGGCCACAGGTATCTTCTATAGTGCAATGACCTGTTCTACGAGGCAGAATGAGGGGGAAGGACCAGTCCTCAGTGGATCCTGTTTATGGTGGAAAGGAATGTAATGAGACACAAAATTCAACAGAGTCCTTCTTCCCCTCTCTGGCCTTAGAGTTGGGAATAGGAGGCTAGTGAACAATAACAGGAGAGGTTTCTGTCCTTTTGTTTGGGGAAATATGAGATGAATCTTGCTAACATGTAGCCTGTCTCCTACTAGCCTGGGTTTGGATCAGGGCCTGTGGTGTGATAAAGGGTAGCCTAACATTTAGGATGAATGACTTGTATGTGTTCCTAGATAGCTATAAGTGCTAAATTGAGAATTATTAGGTCATGCAAAGAAGCCAGATGAACCTACAATAGGGCCTGGAAGTGAACTTTCTGACCAGCAGACAGACCCAGACACAGTATGAGGCTCAACAGCAAGGTGGCAGTAAAGTCAGGACATGACTGCAATGCTGACAGAGCCACAAGCTATGAGCCTGGTTCTCACCAGCCTTCTAGAGAAGCTTCAGAAACACACTAAGCCAAGAAGACAAGGGGGTTAGCCACCAGATGTTGCAGGAAGAACCTGCAAGAGGACTGTAGTTAAATTCCTCTAGCAGATCCTGGCTAGATCCCAGCAATGCTCTTCCATTTCTCAAGCACGTTGGAAAAACTATATTCACTGATGTATTAATTAGGATTTCTGTTGCTTAATGAAACACCATGACCCAAAGCAACTTTGAGGGAGGAAAGGGCTTATTTCATATTCCACAAATATTCCAGTATTGAAGGAAGTCAAGGCAGGGAACTCAAGGAGGGCAGGAACCTAGAGGCAGGAACTGAAGCAGAAGCCATGGGAGAGTGTTGCTTGCTGGACTGAACTGAATAGCTTTATTAGCATGCTTTCTTATACACCCTAGACCACTATCTAGGGGTATTGCTGCCCACTATGAACAGGGCCCTCCTATATCAATCACCAATCAAGAAAATGCAACCCAAGCTTGCCCACCAGCCAATCTAGTTGGAGTAATTTTCTCAGTTGAGGTTTCCTATTTCAAAATAATTTGAGCTTGTGTCAAGTTGACATAAAAACTATCCAATACAACTAGGTCAGGGCCAAATGACCAAATCCTTGTAAGTGGAATATGAGCAAAATTACGATATTGCTGTCTACCCCTTTAGGATGGATCCAAAGACCCAGAAGTCATACACACCAGAGAACTTCATCAGGATCAGTCAGCTTATACATCAAACCCATGCATAATTCTGGCATATTCTTTCCTTTTTCACAGTAAGTACCCAGATTGTCTACTGAAGTGGGGTGTGTTTGGAAGGGATAAAAAGGTAGAGAAACAGAATCAATCATTAAAAAGCTGCTTACAGAAAAGCCATCTTTCCCACATTGCACAGTGAGATGAAGAAGGAATCGCTTTTCCTTAGGTCAAGCTCCTGGATTCCGTGCGGGAGGAATGCTTGTTATAGAAGATAACATGATGTGCCCCAACTTAATGCCACCAGAATGCCAAACCATACACCCCACTCCCATATTCCTATATGCCAAAAATGAGACTCACCTTTTTCTAGAAAGAGACTGAACATGACCTGAAGGTATTATTTAACTTTTCAACCGTTAAATTGGACCACAGATATATATATATATATATATATATATATAACCAGATATTAAGTTCATTTATTCCACTCACTAAGTGTAAGTTCAGGAGAAAGATCAAATTAATTATAGACAAAAATAAAATCTCATATTTTATTCTTTTGCATATCTATGCTAGGTTAGAATTAAATTTGCAATCCAATTATGCAATTTAGGAGAAAGGTTTGGACAAGACTTCTAAGACTGTAATTCTTGCCTCTAATATATAAGTAAGGTTGGGCTTTGAAAGCACAGAAATAGGGAAATGTATGCAGGGACTGTACACACATACTTTGAAATCAATTTTGTTTTACCATTTGTTCAGGTTCCTTGGAATCTGTAGCTTGAGAGGCATTTGTGAGATTGAGCCATGTTTTATTCATTTTCAACATGGATGACACCTCCTGTTGTTCACCCAGGTGTTATATAATATTCAAACCAACTCACCCAGAGCTGGCACAACATACACGTATAGTGACTTGCAGCTAAAAAAGATGGAGACTACTTCAGAGATCTGCAACTGGTCACAATGAAGAGAATAAGTGACTGTGGAATGCCCAGTCCCACTAACACATCTGAAACCTACACATAAGGGTCAGGAGTGACTGCAGAAAGAAGATGGAAAGAATGCAGAAGTCACAGGCCCAGGACATCTTCTGTTAGATAGTGTCCCCTAGTCAGTGCAGAGAAAATGCATACCCTCGAACTCTCAACAACGTGGAGGTCTGAACAAGACCAGCATAATGACTGTTGTTGACCTGCAAACATAGCCAGGGGGTATTGGACAAGGCTTTGCTCCTTGATGGCGTGCTACCACTGGCCAATAGATGCTGACAGGAGGAAAACAGTTTCCACCAGTGATGAGCTCCCACATAGCTTGTCCAATCCTAAGTACTCAGTCCTAAACACACGTACACACGTACGTATAAGCAAAGCTAAATTGATTCAGTAGGTTGTATAAATAAACAAATAAATAGATAAATATTCATTATATATTTGATAAGGATTAAAGAACTGGTCACAAATTTGGGGAGAGGAAGAATATAGATGCAGGAACAATAAAATAAAAATAAACCTACCATTAAGTGTACTAAATTTTAAAATACTAAAAACAGACAAAAGGTGGAGTAAGAAGATTACAGGATGGACTCTGAACAGACTTTTGTACTCTGGGCTCTGTCTCCTAAGGAGTGCCACATATTGAGATAGTTAAAGGGAAATTTCTTTACCCTCTAGTCTGTTCTAGTTTGAGTCAGTCTCTCTCCTTTCCCCGCCCCTATACTATGAAACTGTTTTATCCACATGCATACGTGCTGTTAAAATCTACAAAAATTACAAGATTCTAACTCAGAACATTTGGCATCTTCTTGCCTCCTTCCAAGTGGCCATCAAAGAAACACTGGTGTATGTCCCTGAGGCCCATCTCCAGTTTTAAAAGGATTTCTTTTCCTGAGTGGAGTCCGACCTAACTCTATTTCTTAAGGATACTGGTATCATGAAAGACTGAAAGCAGACAATGGGTGACCACTGAGAAGAGAAACCATCTGCTCTTTCCAGCTTGTCTTGAGCTGCTCACCTATGAGGTATAATATCGTATTCCCTGCAGATCAAGAACCATTCATTTCTGAAAGAGCAGGCTTTTTTGAAATTTCTGTGAACTTCTTCCAGGAACCACTGGACACTGGGCTAATTCTCCATGTAGTTCTTCATTTTCTGGATCCAGCCCTTAGTTATTTCTTCCTTCCAGTGTCTCCATAGATGTATTCAAACCATTGCCATACTGCCACAGGCTCTGCCCCTTAGTTCAACTCCTGTAAGTCCCTACCCTTGGAGTTAGACCTGACTTGACAGCTCCCATACCACTTTCACAGATTTCATTGCAAATGACCACACATTAGTAATATAGGCATGTCCCTCTACAGTACTGTGCCACTGTAGCCCAAGCTTTGACCCCAGTGCACAGAGACTCACCAGAATTACTGACATCAACATGTGGTCTCAGTTACTCACTTGTCTCTGTTCAAGACAAGATCCCCAGGATGGGTTACCACCTTGAGAAAAGAACAGAAATAGACATTCTGTAAGTATCATCCTTATCATTGGTGAGAAAGAGTTGCTGACATTTTTAAGCATGCTGTACCCTTTTAATATCAAGAAAAAATTTCCCTCTCCCCAATCATCCCTTAACATTTTCTGATTAAGAAATGTATGACAAGAAATGACCATGAATTCAGTTATGCCATCACATGACCTTACTAAGCTTAGTATTGTATGAATGCTTGTGTGTATAGATATGTCTTAGCATAAATATGTATGTCTGCATGCACTATGTATGTATATGAATGCATATGTTTGCATGTGTGTTAGCATTCATTTGTATGCATAATTACATATGCATATTTAAAAATAAGGTGTATAGATAATAGCAAGTCATACTAACAGATTCTCTACCTCTAACACAAGAAACCAGAAGAGTGCCAAGAACATCCACTTAATTTCCATCTGTTTTGTAGTCATCACCTGATACTTTCTTCCTTACTATACGCTATGCAAACTTTCTCCTCACCAATCAGTTTAACCTTTTCCTTCTTCCTCAAAACACTCATGAAATTCAAAGAAGTGGCAGAAATACAAAGACTACATTTATTACACTTTAATCTGCAAAGCAGGAGCTGACATATAGTAGCATTCATATTCTCATGATTAGTTAGAAGGAACTAATGACAGAAGGAGTGACTGTGGGATACCATTGTGTCATGAGAACAAGCTTGGAACCACTGGTTACATGGCTGTATAATGCTAAAATCTCATTCGGTGTGTTATGACCTTTGCCAGGTACTTTTTATATTCTACCAAAGAAAAAAATTAAGATTGAAACTTTAGCTTGAGTCAGTGTTTCCAGTCCCAGTGCTTCCTGTACCCAACCCCATGCACCTGTTTCACTAGAGTAATTCTGGAGTAAAGGAGAGCAAACTGTGGGCATTAGTAAATTATATGAGGTTTTTGTCAGTACTCTTATGATTAATATAGAATATTCTATGAGATCAACTGTGAAGGTTCAGCCATTGACTAAAACAACATCAAACTAGACCCAAGTTCTAGCTGGGCTACTCAGTAAGGAGAATTTGTTCTGCTTGTTTATGTCAATAGTGTGAATTACGCATTCACAGTGTTTAAGATCTCATATCCAGGAATCTGGCTATCTAAATTCCCATTCTGATACCCCTCTGATGAACTGGCTACTTATATGTTAAATGGGAGGATAAGTGTGTCAGAACTAATGCATGTAAGAACTTAGTACATTGGCTCACACATAGTAGGATATAGAATAGAGGATAAAAAGATGGATGGATGGATGGATGGATGGATGGATGGATGGATGGATGGGTGGGTGGGTGGGTGGATGAATGGATATCACCTGCACTTTGTGTTGCATATATTCCCATCTTCCAATTTAAAACAAAACAAAAACAAGTAAAAATACCTAGTGAATATGGACAGCTACTTGCAATATTTACAGCACTTATAATATTTGGCAGGTCTTATTGGCCCATCTGTCTATTTTCTACCATCTATAAACTCACTGTTCCCACTGATGGAGTCATCATGTGTGTTCATGCCAAGCTTTAATGGTATTCACTACTGATTGTATTCATGGCTGTATGAGAAGTATGTGGTACAGTAAGAATGAAAAAACAGTTGATAGAATTCTAAAGCCTGATTTGGTCTCACAATAGCAGATGATTTTCTATAATTTTAACCAAAAAGCAGTGACATTTGTGGAGAGACGGAAGAGAAAAACCTCATGGGAAAAACACTGCTCTTTGCCATTTAAAAATACCAAAATGAGCACATTACCTAAGCATTTACATTGGGTTTGAACTATTCTCTGAAAATGGATAATGTGTGAAATGAATTACAAATGTGGACATTACAGAATATTCTACTTGAGTCAGTTTTGACTGAGCATGAATGAGTTACCTCAAGTAACTGACAGTCTAGAGGAGAGAAAAGCCTGACACCCAATTCATGGTGGATCTGATGGATATGTATGGAAGGGTTATCCTGGATGAATGCTGAGCTAAGTTATGGACGGAGAGGTGTAGAGGGGGGTTATATGGCTTTCTTCACAAGCTTTCCCACCAAAATTTCTAAAGTTATGGCAGGAATTCAAGAAGAAAGGAGAATAGAAGACTTTTCTCTATACTTGAGTCCCAGACCCTGGTTCACAGGCAAGGTAAGTGACTTGTTGACTTTCCACAAATTAGCTCTTCCAAATCTGAAAATCTCTACAATTAGTGGCTACAGTGCCTCACTAATATCTCCCTGAATACTTCCAAGACACAGAGGAGTTTAATCTTCATCCATGTAGAAGTTACCAGCTACCATCTATAGAAACTAAAGGAAGCACTTTAGCTCCTTGATGATGCTGTACTACCAAGCATTAATAACTAATATTATAAAACAATGGAAATGCATTCTTGCACAGTTCTGAAGGCTAAAATATGAAATAAAGGTGTCTCTAGGGTCAAGATCCTCCTAAATGTCAACAAAATTACTTTGCTTCTTCAAGTTTCCTGGGGCCTGTAGGTATCTCTTGGCTTATAAAGGCATCACTCATCTCTGCTTTCTAGATTGCTATAGTCTTCCCTCTATCTCTCTATGCACTCTTTTCTTCCTGTAAGGGCACAAATTACTGAATTTAGAGACTACCCAAAATTTAGTATGATTTTATTTTGAGATTTCTAATTAATATGCATGCAAAGACCCTATTTTCAAATTAGGTCACATGAATATTTGGGCAACACTATTGAACTCAATTCAGCAGTCATGAGCAAACATGCAAGGACTAAATGCCAGAATCAGAAATGCCAGCTCAGCTTACACCTCTACCTCATATGCCAGGCATAGCCAGTAGAAAACAAAGATGCCCACTATAGACCCTTCACCCACATCTTATTTCTGCTTGCTTCGGTACTCTCTATGGATTAAGTAGAGCATTACAAAGGTCACACTTTTGAAGGGAGAATAAAAATGTATCTTGAATGCATGCTCCATTGATCAAGAGTCTGAGGAGACAGCCCATGCTTCCCACTTCCCAGAGGGCTGGCCTCAGCTGTGGTAAAACACTCGGTGGAAACGGCAGAGCTACAGAACCATGACCTCCCATTAGATGCGCTGGTAGAAAACATGACACACAGAGATAAGGAGCAGGGAGACCGCAGGGGAACAAGCCTCTGGGGCAGCAGCTCAGCCTCACCTCTGCTTAAATGACACAGACCACAGGTCCAAGGGAATGCATCTGTCCTACTGGGGACCAAACAACTGCAGGTGGCCTGGCAGCTCAAGAACTGTCTCTAGAGGGAGGACAGGCTCAGAAAGCTCTGACTCTCCCAAGGCAACCACAGAGTTTCTCAGTTGTTTGAAACAGGACACCTGAACCGAGGCTATGGTTTGACACTGGGGAGAGTGTGAAGAATTGTGCACTGGTGTTAACTTTTCCAGAGGAAACACAGATAAGGCACCAATGACTTTCAAAGTATGACTCCACCAAAGTCTAGCCTAGAAAAACAATGAAGTTATTGGGGTTACTTACAGAGCACAAATAAGGGGTTACTTACAGGTACATCAGTGACCCCTAAGCAGCTACATTGCTGCAAAGACACACTCCAAAATGATGGCCTCTGGTACCCCAGAGAAGGGAAAGGGGACAGGATCTCCTGAGCAGATTGGGAGCATGAGAGGGGTGGAGAGGGAGCTGTGAGAAAGAGATGGGGAGAAGAGGAGGGGAGAGTAGAAAATGGGGGAGCAGGAAAATTGAGTCGGGGAAGAATTGAGAACAGGATGAGAGACACCATGGAGGAGAGATTTGGCACTACGGAGATTTCCAGAGATCTACAAGAATGACACCAACTGGCAATCTAAGCAATAGTGGAGAGGCTACCTTAAATGCCATTCCCATATAATGAGATTGATGACTACATTATATGCCATCCTAGAGCCTTCATCCAGTGGCTGATGGAAGCAGAGGCAGACACTCACAGCTAAACACTGAACTGGAACCCAGTTGCAGAGAGGGAGGAGATATGAACAAAAGGGTCAAGACTGGGCTGGTGACACCCACAGAAACAGCTGACCTGAACAAGGGGGAGCTCATGGACCCCAGACTGATGCCTGGGAGGCCAGCATGGGACTGATTCAGACCCCATGAACATGGATGTCAATGAGAAGGCCTTAGCAATCTATGGGACCTCTGGTAATAGATCAGTATTTATCCCTGGCATATGAATGGACTTTGGAGGCCCATTCCATGTGGAGGGATGCTCTCTCAGCCTGGACACATGGGGAAGGCTCCCAGCTCAACTGACAACCAGGGAGCCTGCATGGAACTGGCCACCTAGGCATTCTGCTTATATTTCACAGTTGTGTAGCTTGGGCCTCTTGTGGGACTCCTAATAGTGGAATCAGGGGCTATCTCTGACTCTTCTACTGGCTTTGGGACTCTACTCGTTTATACTTGGCCACCTTGTATAGCCTTAATACATTCAGGGGAAGGTGTTTAGTTTTACTGCAACTTGATAGACATGGGAGACTTGCCCTTTCCTGAACAGAAAAGGAGGAGGAGTGGACTGGAGGGAGTAGAAATATAGAAGGTGGCAGAGGGGAGGGACTGAGAGTGGAGGAGGGAGGGGAAACTGAAGCTTGGATGATAGATAGATAGATAGATAGATAGATAGATAGATAGATAGATAGATCCAAATTCTCTATACAACTTCAAAACCTTTTCTTAAAAAGTTCAAAGTCTCTCAAAAAATTAAGTACTTTCTTACTTCAAAAATCTGAACAAAGTAAAAATCAAGATCCCACTGTGCAAATAACTCAATGCTCAATGTTTGAGATTCGTTTATGGGCTTCTGGACTTCTCCAAAGCCTGGGGTCACTCCTCTGGTTCCATGCCCTGCAGCACACACAGCTTGTCTTCTAGGCTCCTGCTGGCTCCACTTCACTGTCACTGCTGTTCTAGGTGGTCATCCCATGGTGCTGGCATCTC